TTTTTTTTTTTTTTTTTTTTTTTTTTGGTGTGCGCACAACCATCTAGTGTTCACTAATGAAAAAACAAAACAAAACAAAAAACCCACCAACTTTGCCCAAAGGAAGTGAATGTTGTCAAAACTAGACATACGTTTCTTAAGCTACCTTCTATAACTGCTAAACAGTGTTTTTAAAGAGATGACCACCAAGACTCAGCGTGTGCAGGGAACATTTGTAGAACTTTTAGCACACGTAAACAAAAATGACTAATCAATACACGTCTCCTTTTATAGTGCTAATTCCAAATATGCACTTCCCATATAAAAAGTCTAAAAATACTATGCTTGAGTATCTGTGCCAGACATGCTACGCTTCACTCAAGAAGCACTTGCCCCTTCTCCAAAAAAATAGTTTTAAAACTTGTGCCTTCTGGCTGCTCTACATTCTTGATCTTGATGTGCGTGTCTGTTTCTGTAAGGGCTGCATATTTACTGCTATCCTTTACTTCAACACAGTGAAACAGTATTTGAGGATAGCCTTACCAGATTAATATTGTATGTTTTACACGTCAGGTCATCCAAGCTCTGGTTCTGCAGCTTTTCTGTTATTAGTGTTACCATGGTAGTTGTCCCTTTTCCACTGCTTACACTGACAAGCATTGGAGGCTCTTCCGTGTCCCGTCTCAACACTCTTGAGCCATTTCTGGTTCTAAGTCTCAAGATTTATACTTCCATCTTACTGCCAATATGCATTTCCAAAGGCCTTCAGTGTACCATGTCTGCTTTTCTGTAAAAACTAGGGAGAAAAGGAGAACAGAACAAAGAGAATTAAGTTTAGTTCTAGTTGCATTAAAAACGCATTATGCAGAAATAGCTGGGCTCATACCCAAGGACCTCTTGCATACAGTCAGAGGTATAAAGCATCGTTCGTAAAAAAAAGTCTAGTTTGTATTTTTACCCTGCATCAACCACTGCAGTTTTCTTAAAAGTATGGTTCTTACTATAAATATATTGATCACTGATGATTAGGTTCACTATCCAAAAAGGGTAAATAATGTTTCAGTAATTTTATCACAATTAACTTCTCTCTCTTCTTATAACATTAATGAATCTAACAGCAGCCTTTATACCGGGGTGGGCAAAATGCAGCCCAGGGGCCGAATGCAGCCCACCAGGCTATTCTATCCAGCCCGCAGGGCCTCTAAATATTTATTTTCTAAATTTTTTATCTGCCCCTGGCTGCCTGTCATGCGGCCCTCGATGGCTTGCCAAAACTCAGCAAGCGGCCCTCCGCCCAAAATAATTGCCTGCCCCTGCTTTATACTTGATTCAAAACAGACACCAGGAAAAAAAGGACCAGGCATTCCCTAATATGAAAGGCATAGTAAGTGAAATAACAAGGGAAAGAATTAATGTAGAATTATGTTTTTCTACTATGAAAGATCAAAACAGCATAAGGCTTTCATGGTGGATCAAATAATTCTGATACAATGTGCGCCTCTGGTTGGCCTAGTTAAAAGTTTTTTGGTTTTTTTTGAAGGCCAAGAACACAGGGCAGTCTGTAAGCATGTCAATCATCAGCTGCCCTCTAGCTAGATAGGTTTCAGGAAACATACTTTATAATCCATCATTGCCTTTAACCCCACCTCTCATTTCCTGTACTTCCAGGATCCTCCTCCCTCCCAAATCGCAGTTATTTTTCTAGCTCAGGGTTGTCCAACTTTGCCACTGTGCAAGGCCCATAGGCCTCCAGTTGGACAGCCCTGGTCTATCTTCTTCCAAATACTACATTGGGGCTTGAAGCAGCCTCTCCTCTTTCAAACCCAATTCTACCTCGATGTCACCAATAATCCCTCAACATTCTGCTGTCAAAGGAGCGCTCTTCCATGCCCAGCTAACAAGTCAGATTTATACACTTTATACTAAATGAAGCACCAGGGAGAACTACTGCACTCGCTTTTACCCAATGCTGAAACGTAGAATTACACACTTACAAGCATATTTATAGGGATCCTAGTCACGTGTAAAGTAACCACAGCCAGTATTTTCCACTTGGAAAGCTTTGCAATGCAGAGACAGTCTAACTGGGAGAGCTAGGGAGATGAGCAAAGTTTTGCTTTCATTTAAAGGATGCACTCAAAATTCAAACTGTAGAAAAAAAGAGGGTTTATGCCAAGGGATGTTTGGTAATAAGTAATCTCTTTGAATATTTCCTATTACTAACAAGCATTAGATCTGAAACGTTGCAATGTATTTTTCACATTACTAATCAGCTTCTTAAATAACTGTTAATAGACAAAGGTTATTTGGGTACGTGACCCAAGTTAAACCTGCCTAAAACTCGTAAGGTATTACCATTAATGCAATTAATATCAGATTATCTCTAAACCTGTCACCTAGAAGAACATCCTGCAAATATGATCTCGTATGATAGCCTGCATTACTTTTACTGCATCTCCAAAGAAATCTGTTCTCAAAAATTGACAGAATGCAAAACACTGCTTTTCCTTTCAGTACCTCAACCCTGTCCCAATTTTAACTGGGAATAAAGTAGGTAGATTTATAAAGAAGATACACACTTGCATTCTTCCCAAAAGCCCTGCTGCTCCATTTATACAGGAGTGCAAAACTAAAACACGATCCCGTCTTCCTTCACAGGATGCAAAATGTTTGCCAGCATCTCTTCTAAAATTTAACCTCCACTTCAAAAGGTGAAATATCCTTATTGCCTCAGTTACTGCCAAAGAGGATGCATGGTTTGAATAAATAAAGTGCAGACCATTACATACACAACATGAAATAAAACCCTTTAATGTTGCGAGTCTCCTCTCTCTGTTGGTGGGCATACACATATTCAAATTTTGCTGTTCAGAGTTCAGCAGGGTTATCAGATTGGCATACTTGAGCATTTGAATCTAAATCCAAAACAACTATGGCATTTTAGCCTTTTCATTAGTTAGGTTTTCTTCACTAACCACCCACCAATTTAAACTGACGAGGACTGTCAAGACATTCGTTTTTAACATCATCATGTCAGGACTTAGATAAATTTTAAAACATTAAATATTAATCTTGGTCTAGACAGGTAAAAATCACCAGCTCCTGCTGAACTTTGTAGCAAGTGTTATCCCCCTTTTTCTATAGGGTGGTCTTGCAAAAACTTGCACATGCTCATGCCAAGGAACAAGAGGTAAGCAAATCAAAACGTGAGAAAGAGGAAAATGAATGATGGTACATGCACGCTGAGAATTTTCATACGGGCTACAGAATGAACTAGTCAGAATATGACTATGCATCAACCTTAAGTTTTGCATATAAAAAACTTCTCTGCATCATGTTCTCAGAATTTAAGCCTCAGTTTTGTTGATGTATTCAATATAGTATGCAAAAAAGCAAGTAGAGTTTAGAGCTAATGAATACTGGTTTTTACTCAATTAGACATTTCAAGCCAGCACTTGGTGGGGGGGGGGGGGGAACCCCTTTAAAAAAAAG